CTTTAGGAAGCGCATGTTCCGAATTGTCCGAATTCGCGTCGGTCACTTTCGTAGCTACTTCTCCAGTTTTGTGATTGCTGAAAAAGCTTTTCTTCCCCGCACAGTGCATCTACTGTACAAGCATCTCGACTGTTTCCTACATTTTAATGAATACAATTATAAAGTGTCTCCACTACTTTATGTGATATATCCTATTATTTTCTTCGAGTTGCATACAAAATATAATAAACGCGGTTTTTATGCAGCCAAGCATCTTTGAAGTTTGATCACTGATCACAATAGCCAGAGGAAAATCGAGGAAAGTTATGATCATAAGACAGCTGCTAGATTGGCCAATACAATGGCCAGTACTCATTATAGGTAATTGTCGATTCTGGACTTTCATGTAAATAAACTTTTGGGTGAACTCGCATGGAGCAGAATAGGCAACTGACTTACGATATTTCCCTAAAGATTTGATTATGATTTCTGGCATTTAGAATAAGACAACACATAGCCGAAAAATAACATGGCAAAAATTTAATTACAAAATAAAATTTTATGCTTAAGATCGCAAACGGATTTAATTAATCATTAGAGAATTATAATATGCGCTTCTAGTAATTCCATCTTTCAAATTTCTCCAAATGAATCATGTTGTTAGCTCAAAAAATCAGATATTATATACTTTGAAATTGTAATAATAACGAACATTAGATATTATATATAATAACGAACATTAGATATTTATATATAATTAAAAATTTCGTTTTATAAGCGCTAATGCGAATTTAACATTCAATGAATCGGGAGTGTTAAGATTAAGATAGGATAATTACTTTTTTCAAAAGATACAGAATTTTTAGTACTCCTTGATTGTGCACCGAAGCGCAGAATTATATTGAAAAAAGTTTAATTTTCTGTTCTTAATTCTCTATGTTTAATTCTATGTTCCCGATGCCTTCCATTGTGCTCGGACCTTTAATAAGTTGGCGTGCTGCTCCGCAGTGTCTTCTGTCACTGCGCAAATAAGATGAGATATCTCGATTGATGTACACTCGTGTCCACGCATGTCATTGAGGAAGTAATCGCAGTGCAGTACGCGCCGTGTGTAAAGTGTTATTCCACGCATTATTCGTTTATATTAAACTATAGGTAAACATTCGTTCCTATCTATTTCATTCCATCAACAACTGTTATTCAATCAGGATAAAATTACGACTTCACTCGTATAATTTATGCGATTACTCACGGAGATATTTACGAGAGGGAGGGGGGGAAAGTGCTTTTTGATATTTCACATTCTCATATCTCAATTAAATTAAAAATTTTAGCACACTTCAGAGAATATATACGTGCGTGTATTTATTTATCGTTGTTATAATGTTTTAATGTTTTTATCTATACGATTTTATAATGGAATTAAATTATTAATACTTCGAGATAATAACGCTATCTTGAAATGATTATCGATATCATTTTAATGCACTTTACGTATGCTATATTTATAGAGAAAATCAATACTTTTAATTTTCACACGTACGTACACATCCAATAGAGCTTGTAAGGTTTCTTGTGTTATGTGGTATAATCTTTCTTTTTTTAATATATGTATATAATACACATGTACGATAATAATAATAATAATAATAATAATAATAATAATAATATAATAATAATAATATAAGAATAATAATATAAGAATAATGTTAGTTTTTTTTACAGATATTCCGTGCAGGCTTTCCTTAGAAAAAATGAAAAGCGGCAGCAGATTGTTAAAAGTTCTTTTACAAGCTTCAGAGAAGGCAGCAAACATTGCCAGAACTTGCCGCCAGAAGGAAGCTCTCTTTCAATTGTTAGTACAAGAAAAATCTTTGGAAGAAAAGAATCCTCGTTTTTTCCAGGATTTCAAAACTTTAGCCGATGTTCTCATTCAGGAAACTATCAGACATGACATAGAAATTGAAGTGAGTATAAAGAAATCTTAAATACAATATAAATACAATATAAAATGCTAATAAAAATATACCAAAAATATTTTGAATTTATTAAATTTTAAACTCATTGTTGTAAATTCAGTTTCCAGAATTGGCTAAGTTGGTGCAAGGTGAAGAGACTAATGTGTTTAGCAATACCTTGGGGGAATCTATTATCGTTGAAGTCTGCTCATGCAGCAAAGATACAACACAACTGCTGACGAAAGTTATGGGTAATGATGTTGTGGCAGCAGAGCTGCTTGCTGCTGAAGTCCATAAAGACGTTCAGCTTTCAAATGTGCCAATCACATTAGACATCCCCAATGATTTTGACGTCAATGTGGACGACCTTGGTATTTGGATAGATCCAATCGGTAAATATGGCAAAAAGATTATTCCGTATTATATATATTTGATTGATATTTAGTAAATTTACATTAATTCAGGGCAAGACTGAAAAAGTATAAAAGTCGGACAGTATTGTATGGTAAAAACTATGTCTCTCTCTCTTGTTACTAAGAATCATAATTGGTCCATAAACTGAGACGCAACGCTTGTAAGAATTTTTGTTTGTTTTGTAGTTTGATAATGTATGCCTGTGGAGCAATTCGTGGAACTTTTGTAGATTCAACAGCAGATTACATAAGCGCAACGGAGACAGTGGACGAGGAGACTGGTTTATATTTGAGCGGATTACGTTGCGTCACTGTATTAATTGGAGCATACAAGAAAAGTACAGGAGTACCAGTTTTGGGTGTAGTTAATCAACCTTTTTGCGTCAATACGGATTCACAGTAAGTATATACATAAAATAAAGCAATAATTTTTTAATAAATTCTAAATATTAAATTTTTTTATTGTTGGTATATTCAAGTAAGACTGAAGTAAAATCAAAAATATTATATTCTGTATTGGTTAAATAGGTGGATGGGAAAATGTTACTGGGGTTTTCTGGGAGGTGGCATCGCCAAGTCTTCCATAAGTAACACGTGTAATGCTGATAAAATCATTTTACTCAGTCGCTTCGAAGATGCAGATGTGAAATCAAAATTATTAAACAACGGATTCAAATTGTTGGAGGTAACTGGAGCAGGATACAAAATACTGAGCGTCGCTGTTGGACAAGCGGCTGCTTACATTTTGTCGAAGGGTTCCACTTACAAGTGGGACACGTGTGGACCACAAGCTCTTCTATCATCAGTTGGCGGAGGCATCATCGAATTCAAAGAATTTATCGTGCATCCAGATTCGGATAATTTAAGCGTGAATTATTACCTATCGGCACAAATTTCTCTAATCGTGGAGGCTTGATAGCATACAGAGATCCTCAAATTTTGGAAACTTTAAATGTTTTTATGTAAATCATCTCATTAAA